GTTTAAAAGGAAAATCTCATGTTATTATTTTTAAGATGTTTCTCTGGAGTTTCAGCCTTACCTTGACAAAGACTTGTGAGGAAATTTATTTTATTTTTTTCTTTCTTTCTTGGAATCGAACTAAAAAAAGCAGTCAGTCTGGAGTTCTGTTCAACTCATCGTCCAGGAGCCAAACCAGCAGCAGATGTCAGAGGAAACAACGGCGCGAAGCATTCAGGCTGAGGAAAATATCAAAAGATCAAAAATAACAACAACAAACTGGAATCTATAGTTTCACTTTTTCCCAGCTGCAAACTTGCAGCATCACTCAGGTGGAAGGCGGGGGTCTGACAGAGAAATCTTGATTTAAAAAAACAGCCTGGAGATCAGCTCAGATGAACGATGAAGAAGAAGAGGTGATGAAGGTGGCGATAAGCGGCGAGCCCTCCGCCTGATCTCAGATCAGACAATAGGTGAGGTGAGACAGGCGTGAAGGTGCAGCGGTCCGCCTCTGGAAGATGGGGATGAAGATAAGGCTTCTTCCTCGCCGGGAATCGGTCAGATCACAGATAAATCCCCTCTTCCTCCTCCTCCTCCTCCTCACGGTATCCTTCCTCCTCTTCCCCTCATCATCCTCCGGAGCATCATGTGTGAGATAAGATCCAAACCATCCCCACTAATAAAGGCTCACTTCGTGGACAGAGGGGACGGAATATATTTGAGGATTGGGCATTGTCTAACGCCGCCTCCTTCCCTCCCTCCTCTCCTCTCCTCTCCTCGCCTCCCTCCCTCTCCTCATGCCCCTCGGCCCTCCAGCACTCTGCCTCCCCTGGGAGTAGTGGGCAGAGATGTGTATGTGTTAAAAGCAGTGAAAGGAAAGGAAAAACATGCGTGTTGTGAGTTTGTGCACGTGTGTGCATTGTTAGTAAGAAAAAGCAGTGATTAAGAGAAGTAACTGTTTTGTTTTTTGAGGGGTGGGGGCAAGAAGAGGAAGAGATTTTGAACTTGAATCTAATTAATATTCAAACACATCTTCATTCAGACATAATGCTTCCTGTGATGTTTTGAAATGTGAAAATGAAAGTTAATGTTTTACTTTACGTGTCATCTAAAACTCATTTAATGTCTTTATAAAACCACATTAAACCAGACTTTGATCATTAAARTAGCTGCACGAGTTTAAGATTTAAAGAATTAATGTTTATACATAAGCGAAATGAGTTGTAATGAATAACTAAATCAATAAAAAAAGATTTGCAGTTTGTTGGYTGCGTTGTTGTTGGGCGACAAGCTAGTTTATTATTTCCCCAGTGCGGTCAGGGGGCGGAGTCACGTATGGGCTTGTTCCTGAACGATGGAGACGGAGCCATGAATCGGGGCTTCCTCCTCAGTAACGAGGGCGTTGCTTAGGGTTGGTTATGATGAAGAAAGAGTTGAGTTTAAAAGACAAAGCTCTGGATTTACTGCTCCGTCTACGTTCCAACCCTCACCTGTGAAGGTTTGGATCAGCACCCAAAAGAACCAGACCTTGGATCCAAGCAGATGAAATGATCTTCCTTCACAGGCTCAGCCTTGGAGATCAGGTTCATCTGGTCTGGAACCCTTCCTTTGGAGGTTTTACAGGCATGACCCACTGAGAAAAGACCCAGAYCTCTCCGGAGGGATTATACATTCTCTCTGGTCTGAGAACACCTTGGTTTAAGTTTTTAAAGACTCATAAGAGTAAATTTACTTGGTGGTGAGCAACATTACCTGAAATATCTCGTGCTCCAGTTCTTTCTTAYTTTTCTGCACAACTGCAGTGACTCAAAGTCGAACTGGACTCTTGTTCTTTGGCTTTTATGTACAAAAACCAGGAGGTCTTTTACATAAATAAAGCAATTTTTGCCATAGAGCAGATATTTCACCACCAACAGCTTTTAAATAACTTCACTACTCGAAGTGGAAACCTGGCGTTAGGTAAAAAATTATTAAACTCAGTTTCYCTAAACTGGTCCTTTAAAGAGCTACGTACAACAGGTGAGATGTTAAGAGTCCRGTTGGTCGTAGCATTTAGCTAGGTACCAAATAAAACTGTTTCTCTTTATCAACTTTTTCTTTATATCAGGCCTCTCTCAGTGTTGCACCTGCCACAGTCCCAGACGAGGCCGTGAGTATTTCAGACACTGGGTTGTTTTCTGCTCCTCCCTCCTCCCATCATGCCTCCCTGTGCCCAGTGGCACCACCAGCGTCGAGGTCAGGAGGGCACAGTTCCAGAGGAGGAGCGGTGGCCAGCGAGCGTGGAGACTGGCTGCGCCTAACGAGGTGATTAAAACGATCAGGGGAAGCACGGATGAGTCGGCGTGGCCCAAAGCCACCTCCGTGTGTACCGCCACCGCACACACACACACACACACACACACACACACACACACACACACACACCAGAGAGAGATGTTCCAACCCCGGCACCAGAAGGACCGTATCGATGAAAAGTGTGTGAGTGAGATGACGGACAGCTCGCCCTGGGCTCCAGTTGGGTCGGTGGGGTTTGTGTGACACGCAGAGACTCGCAGCAGGGCGTGTTGGAGACGTGTCAGGACCAGGAGACAGAGGCCTCCTGACAGCTGGAGCCCACGGACACYCCGCGCACATCCACCCTAATTGCTCCCACAGACGGGGACAGGGGGTGGGGGGAGGCCTGTTTGGTGGTCACCCGGATCCTGCCTCAGTCCACGGGGCTCCTGGCCAAAGACACGAAGGACACCTCCGAGGCTGTTTTGTTGCAGTTCCGTCCCACAGCTGGTGCAGCGAGTCCAGAGACGAGCGGCGAACTGCGGGGTGGAGGAGTCACAGGAGGACTGTTAATGGGTGTTTAGTCACGGTATTTACTCTGGTCTGAGCTGAACTCTGTCCACTAAAACTCACACAGAGGCTGTTAGAAACACACATAAATCAAATGAGCAAACATTTRCACATCAGCTTAATAAAACGGAGCAAAAAGACAGAATAAAACCACAAGTGGTTGTAACAAAAATGGTAATGAGCATAAAACACGACAACTGAAAATATCTTAACCTGCTGGTTTCTTAAACAGCTGCAAAGACTCAATGTCATTCAAATAAACTCACATTTATAATCTGATTAGTTTCATGCAAGTGACATGCTGATGAGCATCACATGCTCATGGTATTTTTCTATATGTGGGGTTCTGTGGCAAGGTTACGAACAGTTAATATCTTACCTGTTGTAGAAAGCTCTATGAGTGATCTCATTCTGGACTGTAAAGATAACAGGATTATACCTACAGTAAGTTAGTTTGTAAATAAAAGTCCAAACTGAAGTTGCTCAGGTTCTGATGAATGACTGATGAAGTTCATCAAGATAAACGTTTTATTCCATCCATCCATCCATCCATCCATCCATCCATCCATCCATCCATCCATCCAACAATTCAACCATCCATCCATCCATCCAACAACTCAACCATCCATCCATCCATCCAACAGCTCAACCATCCATCCATCCATCCATCCATCCATCCATCCATCCATCCAACAACTCAACCACCCATTCACCC